CTTTAATGCGATTGATTTTCTCGTGAAATTTTTTATGTGTCGTGTTCGACACATTTTCGGAAACTGAAACGCGTCACACTCATCACCGAAACCATTGATAAATATCTAGATTTGCCGAAAAGCAACAAAAAAAACATACACAGTAAAAGAGAAAATAAATTATTCGTCATCGACTTTGCCGACACTATGGCCACTACTTGAGTACCTACCTATGCAAGACTAAGAACAAACACATTTAACCCAAACATCAATATGAATAAATGATTGCCCAATAGGCGCAAAGCCTCCGTTCCTGATTTATGTTCAACTCTTTAATTGAATCGTTTTAAATATTTCTTTTCAATAAACATAAGTTTTTGTTTGGAATGTACAACAGATTCTTTCGCCAACATCCTAACACACAAATGAAGAAATTTTCTACTTAATTTAAAAATAGATACACAGACGATGAAAAGAAGATGCACGAAAATGCGGATTTTAAAAACGATTTCGTTTTTATCATTGAATTTTAAATAACAACATCATTTTCACATTGATTTATTTCCCGTGCGTAGTTTCACGATTTTCGTGAAAGAAAAATAAAAACAATTTGTACAAATTGACTGTTGACTTCTTCAAATTGGAGGTCGTTTGCATTTTTCAGTAATTGATTGAAATCTTGTGATCTCTTCAAAGGAAGTACATTCGGCGGGTGACTTCAAATTTGTGTGTATGGGGTCACCGACATCAGTACAAAAAGGTTAATAGCATAGTTATTATCGAATAATCAAATAATACTCGAATCACTGTTCCTCAAATCGCGCTGAGGATAAGACAGACGTCAAATAATAAAATGTGTCTAGACAATTTTATCGAAATGTCCGACGTTTTACTTCCAAATTCGTCTAATTTATTGTTTAAAGGGCAAACTCCAAAATGGCCAACGGCATGGATATGAACAAATTGTCGCGCTAAGTACAAGAATGAATCTTCTATACATCTTATTATTATTTGTATTTATTGCCAACATCCATTTCGATGAGAATACGCTACATTCAAATGACGATATTTTCTTTAAATATGCTAAAATTTCGTATATAAATCTCGCAATTTCGGGGATTTTCGCATATTTTTTTAACAGCATTTCATTTCAAATTCGACCAATAAATTACTGAACGTGAACGACGACAAATATATATGTGGCTTAGCTAGCCCGAGATCCAATTATGTCATCATGACTGTCATCCGCCCATTATTCCATTCTATTTTTGAAGACGGCGATTACTTGCACAAATTTGATGTACTGATTTTTTTATTCACTGTGTATATGCTTAACCGACGTTCAATCTCCGAATAAAATGCTGCATCAATCGAGGATACGAACTGTTTTTGGCATGAATGCGATATATGGAGCAGAAGAAAAAAACCACCGTGATGACAGCTCATTCAATATTACATCAATTGAAAGATGTCAATAGTTCGGCGGACGAAACGAGACTACGTAATAAGATGAACTTTGAATCAATTTTCATTGATTGATTTTCCCCCCGCCCCTTCATAGATGAATAATTGTTCGAAATATCTACCAGATAGAAAAAAAACTTCCACGTATAAAGCATTGTCATCTACTCTTTGCAAATGCAAAAGGTTATAAATTATCGTCGAAAAGTTTTCTTTGTATTGAATCAATAGTTTGGGTTGGCAAAAACATTTTCGAGTTTGAATCATATGGGAATATGTGTGCATATGGGCATTTGGCAATATCGATATTAGAAATGGCTGCCAAAAAATATGCCAATGCTATGGAAATAGAAAATTTTGTTATAGAATAACATTTAAATGTTCATGCACAAGTAAAAAAATAATACAGAGAAAGCAAAATGTACGTAGTAGGTTGGTCTGTTCCATCATTTGGCATCAATTTCTAATTGTTAACATTTAAGATATTGTGAAAATCATTGATTCTCACATCAGTTTCATCTCTTTGTTCTATATTTGTGCTTCGTTGCAGTACACCAACGCAATTTATTGAAAAGAAATCCCAAACATCGTTGCTGTGTTCGAACTGTGGCGAAAATGTTATTATCAAAGGCAATTTTCCTATATGATATGTATGATCTTTGAACTTGAGCGCAATTCATTTTCTTCGCATAGAATATATTTCTGTGAATACCATATATTCACCATCCAAATGCATTCTATGGTATACTACGCTATGTTATTATGAATACACATGTCAAATACATGAAAGAAAAACACGAAGCCACGAACGTGTAACATAATATTATGAATTTTAGAGAAATCATAGATGTATTCACATTCTCGCCTTCTTATTAATTGTTTTCAATGAATAATGTGAGGATTCCATTTTATTCAAGCGGCAATAAATTACTGACGAGTAGTTTAAAGCGCGTTCAGTGCCAAAAGGTTATTCCAAACAGTGATTTTGAATAAAATGTTGTGATGGGAAGTCTTTCCGCAATTATTAAGATATTAAAACGATTAAGTAGATTCGAAGAACATGTGAAACATAAGCGCGGTTGGAGTGAAGTGTCTTTTCAATGCATTGGTCTTTCACTTTAAACAGCAGTGTCGCAATTTGAAATTTGGTTTGAAGAAACGTAGAGAAAGAGAGGGGGAGATGGATAGGACAATGTATATTCATATATATAATAATGTTTCGTATCATGTATTGATCTTTTGAGGAGATATAAAGAGCGTGGATAAGAGTGACGATGAAGAGTGTGAGGCAAAATCTTATAAAATGCACGCCTTTTGATGAACATCGTTTTCGATTCACACTTACAGCCATGTGAAGCATGGTATTATTTGGCCATTTCATGAAAACACAATTTTCTTTTATCCATAAAAAGCATTAGGTATTAGGATGCATTACTTTTTGTATCATAGAATTGTATACACATTACATACATACTCAATTCATTCTCTCTCTTTTTTTTCTCTCATCATTTGAATGGTTGCGAACGAGTGTTTGGATGCTGCACTAAGCACAAAAGACCGATACAAAAGTGCTTTACAAGTGGCTAATCTATGGCAGAAAAGAAACGAGTGAGATGGAGAAGGATAAAAAAAATATGATGGCGATACCATAAAAATTTGTCCAATTTTCTTAAATTAAAGTCTCACTTTTACGATATTGGATGGTTATCATCATTTTCCAGTTTTTATCGCACCATCCGAAATAGCCGTGGATGTCAACATCGCATGTTGTTGTTGTTGTTTGTTAGTGTTTGCACTACCTCGCATGCAGCACCTAGTTTGATTTGGATAAGTTTGTGTACGTTTCGTGTGTATCTCTTGTTACTGCGTGCAATTTTCTAGTGGTTGTGTTTGTCTTTCGTATATCTATATATGTATATATAAATATCTCATCACCAGCATTTATGTTTTCGCTACTGTTTCGGTTAAATAAGCTGCTGTCATTGTCACAACTCTTATTACGATCTAACCTATTTTGTTTTTGATTTTTCTTCATTTTCTGTTCTGTTTCATTCTGTATTCGTTGTGTGCCATTTCGTCTGAAGCTCTATTTGAGTTTTATATGCTTTTTGTGCTATATTAAAGTGGATGCGAGCATTGTGCTCAGTGCCTAAATTTTGGCTCCATTCTTATTCATTCGGATGTTCAATGCATCGAAAAGTGTCCGATTCATCGGAAACATAGAAAGTTGACAATCAAAATGCTGTCACTGTGCCAATGTAAAATCAGGCTCTGTTCCATTTTTGGGACCAAACAATAGTGAACAATATGGAATTTACCACATATTGCGTTTCGATTGCAATGACTTCGAATGAGACCGTACCTTTCGTTGTTGGATTGGAGTGCGAGCTAGTAAGTTTGATGACGATGATGCAAGCTTGCTTCTGGTTTTGATGGTCTTGTGTGCAGTCTTTTCCGCAATAGCTATGGTGTGTCGTGTAATGAATCGTTTTGTGGAAATGAATGCCCGTCGTCAACACTTTGGATAATTTCACTCAATTGTCCTAGATGCATATATATTTCGAATCTGTTTTTCTCTACTTCATCGCTTCACATATAGTCGTTGTCGTACGCACACAATGCACTTTCAATGCGCGCACGCACACACACACACGTATGTTCATTGTCATTCAGACATAGGTACTTCTGTTCATGTTTAAATGAAACGGTGACTGTATGATGTGTAATATGGAGGGTGTCGATGAATCGTTCATGTGCGATTTTACATTGTTCAAAACGTTTTGTCCATAGAGCTACACACACTCATATCGTTTGGTATCGTGAATTGTTCATGCTATTTCAGTGCCATCGTTATGCTTATATCGTTGTTGATATTTACAATATTGCCGAAACATGATTCAAATAAATTGACTTAGATATAAACCAATTTGGCTAAAGTGTCGTAGAAAACACATTCTCGTTTCGAGTCTTTTATCCCGAGCATAATTTATTTTGCGGCATTTCCTATGCATTGGATGCAATAAAATATAAAATATGTCTTCCAAACAGCGATATGATTCTTTGATTGGATTCGAATCAGATTCTACAAAGTAAGCAGTAAGCACTGCAATCGATCCATATCCATGATAGTTCGATAAAAAATAAATGTGTTGAAAAGTTAACTGCCTCGATTTTGATTTATATCAACTTTGTTAAGGTTTATATAGAACTGAATTATAGTATGAAGATCAGATAAAACACATTTATATTGTTCACGTGTGATTTGGTTGCTCGTTTGAAATACTAGATGGAGCTGCTGTAAACAATCAGAAACACAAACCAATACAACTTTATCAACATAACAAAGTTGCTTCTTGAAATTATTACAGCTACGAATGTGTCCCAAAAAGGGTTCGTATCATAGCTAGAGCTAAACAATTGTTAAATAAATTATTCCAAATAAAAGCAATTTATATATTTATACGATTTTTATTATATTAATGATGTAATGAACTGTTATGTTTGAGATAGAAAACAACATGTGTAAAGTTTGAATTTTGTGAATAAAATAAAAGTTAAAATTTAGTTTCTATGAATTGGTACATTACTCACACTATTAAACAGTTTATTTATATATAAGTTTTCACATTTTACATTTTGATCGGTTTTAATTTCAAATATACACCACCCACTGGAGCCAAAATGAATTGCTTTGCTTCAAACTGCAAGGGATTTGGTGTTTTCGAACTAAGTGAAAACTCAAAATTATTCAACAAAGTAAGTAATCCTATTCGTGCTTGCATCATGCCAAAACGGAGCCCAATACAATTCCTGGGACCATCCCCGAATGGAAGCCAACACATCGGATTCCGTTCTTTGGCCGCTTCACTGTTGAATCTTTCAGGGTCAAATTTCTCTGGATTTGGATAATATTCAGCATCACGTTGAATTGCGTACGCTGGAATCAGTATAGGTGTTCCTTTTTCGAGCACAGTTTGTGTACCGGGAATACGATAATCATGGTGCACTACTTTTCTGTTCAAATTTCCAATCGATGGATACTTTCTTAATGTCTCTATGAGGGAACAGAACAAATGTATGACCATGGTGAAATATGTTCATTTTGAAAATGAGTGAAATATTTACCTTGAAGCACTTGATCAACATACGGCATATCCATCATCATTTCATACGTGCATTTTCCGTTGTGTCTTTCGAATGCTTCTTGCACTGCCTTCCGCGTTTTATTTTGAATTTCTGTATTTATAGCCAATTCGTAAAGGCAAAATGTAAGCGTAGAGGACGAAGTCTCAAATCCCGCCAGATAAAATACAAACGCTTGGGCCGCAACTTCATTTAACGTAATCACTTTATCTTTATCGGTTGTTTCTTGATTCTTCAATTTGATTAAAATATCCATAAAATCATTTCTATTCACGTTGTTTTTTTCACGGAATTCCACAGTTTCTCGTACAACGTTCATGAAAAATTCAGACACATCATCCCGAATGACTTTAACTTTTAATTTCTTTGCTAATTTTTGAAATCCACCAACAAGTGCTGATTTTAGAAAACTGTTTCTGGGCTCACCAAACGCTATACGACCATATCGCCTGAACTCCGCATTTGGATCTTTTAAACTGTTACATTCAATGCCAAACGCACAGGTGCCAATAACATCTGTCGAAAAACGAGCTAATAGATCTTTGATTTCTAGCTCGTCGTTCTGTTCAACGACATCAAATAAACAATCACGAAACCGTTCCCCAACTTCGACCACAGTTTGAAACATGAACTTCATTTTGCCAGAAGTAAATGTGGGAGATAATTTGGCGCGAAGTGTCTTCCATTTGGTACCGTCCAAAGAAAATAAATGCGCTGATAAAGGATCGTCTTCTTCATTCTAAATTTCAAAAATGTAAATTTTAACATAGTGTATCAATAAAAATATCAAATATCAACTAATGTAAAATGTCACTGATCAGAAACCTACGTAGTAAAATCCTTTTTCGTAAAAGTTAGAGAAATCTTTTATTAATATACTTTTCACAAGATCAAGATCCAGTATAAGTGCCATTGGACGGGCAAAAACATAAAGTCCACATATTTTTGCACCAGTTGGCTTATATTTATCGTACGCGTTCTTCGCAAATTGCGTTAAATGAATTGTTTTGCCAAGATTCTTTATGTTTCCAAACGGAATCGAAGGTTCGTCGTAAGGTACGTTTTTTGATTTCCAATATCCGAACGAGTATTTGAAATAAGCGTACAAAAGTGTTAAAATTGAAATAAACACAAGAATGGATACACTTATCAATTCCATGGCACAATTAAAATTTTGATATTATAAGTTTTTCAAAGCGAACTGATTCAATCAGATTTTTATTAAATACTGAACTCTCGTTCTCACATACGAAGTTTATATACCATTAATAGCCAAGTTGAAATGGTTGTATATTTGCTATCAGTCATGACTCGTCAAAATGTATTTATAACTAGCATCGTCTCCTATAATTCCAACGTTTCAAAAGTATATATATAAACAAAGGTATAAAACATACAATATAATAGTATACACAGAAACAAATATTCGAGTACGGTTACTCGCATTTGCGGTGTTAGCAGAGAGTCTACCCTTCAAAATGAGTTACGCACTATATTTTATTCTATTTTTGGTGTTAATTTCATCCAAGTTAACACATCATAGTGAAAGAAGAAATACATGTGTATTGTGTAGTCATAGACGCATGCGTTCAACGTATATATGACTACACACGTATCTCTTCTTTCACTACGATGCGTTCACTTGGATGAAATTAACACAAAAAATAGAGTAAAATAGAGTGCGTAACTCATTTTGAGGGGTAGACTCTCTGCTAATACCGCAAGTGCGAGTAAGCGTACTCGATTATTTGTTTCTGTGTACCAAGCTATCTTTGGTGATAAACTGGTTTTAACAAAAGATACAATAATTGTGTCTAATCGCTGTTGCCCGCTGAAATCTAACCAATACATGAATATAACAGAGTAACTTCTTCTCGAGTTGATTGATTCATATTGCTTTATGATGAAGCGGATTTGAATTCAATAAATAAGATGTACACGTATGATTGTCCGAGTATGAATGTGGAACCCCTCTGAGGTTTAGAAAATTCTTTCGATTTGCTGGTGATTTTCTCTGGAAAAGTGAAGACATTTTTTAGCCCTTCACTTTTCCAGAACATTTTTATTGTTTCCCAATATAAGCGATCTACTTTACATTCAGAAAATGATATACATATTGTAATATTCTACGAATTAAATTATAAGCGGCACTGTCCACTGGTAGACAAGTAATGATATTAAGCAATGTTTAAGCATAGCTGTCCACCAACGTCCATTTGTTCGTTCGTAGCATAGTTTTTGGTGTTTTTGTTCGTTCGTAATAAAATCGTATATCAATACCCAAACGAATATTTGAAATGAGCGTAGAAAATTGTTGAAATATGGCACAATTTAAATTTTGATATTATTAGTTTTTCAAAGCAAACTAATTCAATCAGGTTATTATTAAATACCTACGAAGTTTATATGAATAACTACATCGGGTGTAATTTTTTTACCGCCTATCGTTATTCACTTAATTACTCACATACAAGTGCCCGAAATGCAATTTTATTCTGATTACTTTTGACTTTGTCGTTTGTGTTTGTCAAAAATAAGGTCACACAATGAAATGATTATTAACAAACTCAATAGTATATCATAAGATTACATATAAATCCAACCATACAATTGAAATCTTTATCATTTGCTTTGTCAAAAATACAATTTTTTTCATTTTTTGTTCACGATTCCATAACTGATAGATATAGCTGCATACAATATATTTGGGATATATTGGCTAGCTGATGTCACGCGCTGAAATGGAGCGACAACAATAGAAGTGATTGTTATAGGTATAAAAATACAATAACAATCACAATAACTATAACAATCACTCCTATTGTTTTCACTCCGTATCATCCTGACGTCATCCAGATGAGCTGAAATATCCAGATGACAAAATCCAAATATATTGTCTGCCTGGGAGATTAATTTGAGAAGTATACTAAAAAGTGGAAATTTTGTTATATGTAGTAACTCACAACGGTTGTCTCTATCGTAATCAGATGTTAGTTTGAACACAATTATCTGGTACCGAACAATTGCAGTATAGTACCGAACAACAGTGTTACAACACAGAGCTATTCGTTCAATAATTATTGATGATAATTTTGTGAAGTATGTACCTATATAAGTATTATAATGATGACTTGGCAAAGGAGCTCTTAGATAATAGTAAATTTGTAATTTGACTATTTATCAATAGATGGCGACACATAAAATAGCAACTTCGAAACAGATACGCATTTCCTATATGAACACTCGTCCAAATGTCGGACTATATGTTTGAATTTTCAACTTCAATTTAATATTTAACACTTTTGATTTCATCTAAAAATATCATTCTATACACAATTCTATGCAGAATTTAATTGTGCTTCATTTCACAATTGTCAAAAGAAAGAAATTTCCAAAAATATATTATTATTTTCCATTTTTCCGTCGTAACATCGAAAATTCCATATGTCGGATATTCGTCGTCCAATTCTCGGCTCCCAAATCTCGACATATTTCATGAATTTTCACTGCGAAACTTGAACAACTTTAAGTTTTGACAGCTCAGGAACGCATTCTTTACATTGAGGAAAACAATACAAAATATCGAAGTTGAAATTATTGGATTGATATATTTTTGCTGCATATTTAATTTTATTTATTTTTTCACAATAAAATGGCAAAAATATTTAAAAATATTATGTTATTTCACTGATCTATAATATTTTTGGTTGAATTTCACAATGATACAAATACGACTTTAACTGTCACATCTGTCAAATGCAAAGTGTTTCGCTTGAAACTTCGGTGCTTAATGTGTCGGCAATTGGACGATTTATTCCGGAATAATATTACAGTGAAAAAAGAAAAATAAATATAATTGTTTTTCTTTATATTTTCAATATTTCTGTTCAATAACTAAATTAAAGTATCTACAATTCGCAGACATATATTTTTTTCCAAATTAGTTATTTCTTCACATAAAAAAATGCATTTTACCGGCTTGTCTCAAAATGACATAGTTTAACTTTTGACACGAAAAAGTGATAAAAATACCGAATTTTTTTGAACGTAATTTGTGAGAGCAATAATAGATTTTTGATTAAAATTTGGATTATAATAAAGAGATTTGATATTGATCTTTCATAATTTACTTTTAAAAATGCAATTCAAATAAATTTTTAACTTTTAATTTCAATTCACCTCTCGGTATTTCGACATGTGTACTGTATACACAATTCGATGCAGAATTTAATTGTGCTTCATTTCACATTTCTCAAAAGAAAGTATTTTCCAAAAATGTATTATTTTTTTTTTCCATTTTTTCGTCGTAACATCGAAAATTCCAAATGTCGGATATCCATCGTCCAAATCTCGACTCCCTAATCTCGACACATTTCTTAAATTTTCACTGCGAAACTTGTACAACTTTAAGTTTTGACAGTTAATGAACGCAATCTTTACATTGAGGTAAACAATACAAAATATTGGAGTTAAAATTATTAGATTGATATATTTTTGCTCCATATTTAATTTTATTTATTTTCCCATAGTAAAATGGCAAAAATATTTTAAAATATTGTGTTTTTTCACTGATTTGGTTTGAATTTCACAATGATCCAAATACATACATAACTGTCACATCTGTCAAATCAAAAGTGTTTCACTTGAAATGTTCGGCGCTTTATGCGGCTTTATGTGTCGGCAATTGGACGATTTATTCCGGAATAATATAACAGTGAAAAATGAAAAATAAATATAATTGTTTTTCTTTATATTTTCAATATTTCTGTTCAATAACTAAATTAAACTATCTACAATTCGCAGATATAATTTTTTTTCAAAGTAGTTATTTTTTCATACCAAAAAATGCATTTTACCGGCTCGTCTAAAAATGATATAGTTTAACTTTTGACGTAAAAAAGTGATAAAAATATAGAATTTTTTTTGAACGTAATTTTTGAAAGCAATAATAGATTTTTGATTATTATATATAGATTTGATATTGATCATTCATAATTTTTTTTTTTTTAAATGCAATTAAAACGAATTTTCGATTTTTAATTTCAATTCACCTATCGGTATTCCGACATTTGGTCGTTTGTCGACATTTGGCAATCTACTGTACTTATCGTAAAAAATGTAATAAAAAATCGCGTGCTGAGAAAAAATAAATATTTGTGTATTATACCCAGTGTATAATATTTATTGTTACTGTTTTTCTCAGTACGCGATTTTTTATTACATTTTTTACGATAAGTATAGGAAATGCGTATTTGTTTCGAAGTTGCTATTTTATGTGTCGCCATCTATTGGTAAATAGTTGGAACTACTTTCTTACTAAAGTGTCATACTAAATTGCTAAGAGACCCTTTAGAGCCAATCGAACAAACATATGTATTTAAGCAAATTTATTTAAGTATTATTTTTCACATTAAATATAGCTGGGGCGCACGCTTGCAGAACAACAAGCCACAAACCCATGATCAAAGTCTACCAATGATCAATGGGAACCCAATGATAAGAACTTATTAGTTCCACATTTAACATACATAAAATTACAAATATAAATATTTCTTTGTAAAAAATAAAAAAGAGATAGAAAGAAATGAACGCACTCATGTGTGCGCGTGCGAGCGATTGAAAATTTTTGTTTTTGCAATTAGATGGTCAAAAATCATAAATATGTTCGCGAACTTTATGATAATCAACCAACTATTTTCACAAACAGATATAATAAATGACTTTGTTGCTTTTTTCCATCAAACATTACTAAATGGCCGGCAAAAAAAAGAAAAAAAGATGGTCATTTCGTCTTTAGGGCACTCAGTGCCCGACTCATATTTTTTGTATGTATTGAATTGTAAAAAATGTTTGTGCACGAATGAAATTTTTTTTTTGTTACATATACAAACAATAATAATTTATTATAAACAAATTCTGCCGAAATTCAGTTTTGCATTAATTTAGAATTCCCATACTCAGATAAATTTAACAGAGAAAACTTAAAGCCAAAAGTGTAAAATGCTGATCGAATTCATATGCACTGCAAAAATTTGTTCAGCCAATATTTTTTATTTTTATTTTGTCAGCACAGTATACAAAATGTAGCTGCCGATCTATACTGCTCACATCCATGTCTTTAGTTTACGAAATGACACAATAGTTCTAAAAATATCGAGAAAATTCAAAAAAAAAAAAATGTCATTTTTTATTAGTTTTTTCATATAAAATATACTAACGGGCACTGAGTGCT